AACATCCCATTTCATTTGAAAAGTTACAGGAGATTCCATTAGTGTGTGTGCTTATACCAATATCCCAACATATTCAAATCTCTGCAATAACCAGTCCAATCCGAGTAAACCTGCCTCCCTCCGGTAGCCTATCGGCTTGTTTTGTGTTATGTGAACTTTGGTTATTCACACGTGTGTCACGCTCGCGGGCTTGTCCCGTCACGTTTGACATCCACATGCCGTTCCACATGCAGCCCCCCCTCTTGGTAGTTAGATAACAGGAGCTATGCTGGAAATGTGAAACTCCTCCTCTTCCCACGGGGCGACACATGGGTTAGTGTCAGCGTGGACCCACCTTAGGGGAGATGATGGAGAAGTACTTCTGTCCAGATGGCCGTTCGTAGAGGTAGTACATGGTTCCTGGCTTTTTCACAATGTTGCAGGCCGCATGGTGAAGGTCTGCGTCTCTTTTAGCGTCTTCCAAAGTCTTGAAAACACCCAAAAAGAATGAATGCTCTCAGTTATATCGCCTAATTGTGTTTTGATCTGATAAATAAAGGGGTACACAGACGGGTCTCTACCTTCCGGGCCTGTTCCTGTAGGTATCTGATCTGGTCTGCGATCACTGTCAGCTTGTTACAAGCGTTGGCTTTGACAAAATCATCCCCCTAAGAAAAGACACACAAGCAAAACCTGCCATTAGTATGAGAAGTTTCTTCTCATCACACAGTCTCAGAGGGGCAGGTGACATCTCAAAGTCTCAATTAAAGACACGCACACACTGAATTTATTAATCAGACTGCTACAAGACCTTTAGCTGTAACAGTACAGTTAGTTTGGCCAGTGGAATGTGAGTTCCCACCTTTTGTACTTGTTGTGCCAGGGCCACCAGGTCCATGGGGTCTCCCACCCGGTTGGTCTGGTAGGAGCTGACCAGCTCCAGGCCGCTGGGGGCCCCGCTGCTCTCCACCAGTTTGACTGCGGTACATAACACACATGTACAACCAAATTACAGTAACACGGTTACGCAGATTCAATTACCAGCACTGACACGATAGCTGGCCTGCTTCCGAAACGGTTCAAAGCATTGTAACAAATGGTAACAAGAAAAAAAAAACAGACCCATTTCTCCCAATTTAATTTAATTTACGTTAGTCGTTCCGTAAATGTCTTACCCGTAGTTGTTTTGTCCGGTTGGTTCGGTAAACTGACTGTCCTGTCCATCTTTTGTTCCTCTCAGTTATTACCAAATAACTTCTTTACCCGGGGATATTTGTGAAAACACAAGCCGGTACACTCTGTCCACAAGCCGGTTTTGTAAGTTGGGAATAATGTGTAACCATTCAGGCGGTCCTAAATCTCCACCCCGTTTAGCTCTGAGTAGTAGTCCATATCTGTAGCCTGACTAAAAAAAGAAACAAATCATGTTCGGCATTTAACAGTGGGCATTAATGCGAATTTTATGTAGATCAATCAGAAGTGTTTAAACGTCTAAACCTCAATGTCATAGTACTGAAATATAAAATATGATTTAAAATAATTTTTATTTTCAGGCACGCAATCTATAACTTCATATGTGAACCATTACGTATGAAACAGCAGCGGCTTTCTTGGCACCTCTTTTATGTAACATTTGTTGTTTGTACGCGGGGAAAGAAATGCACGAGAACCCCCCTTTTTATGCACTATATTTGTAATAATATGGTCATGATTATTTTATTTTTCAAAGTTGTAGAAAATTATTTTTCACGTTGTTTTTATTTACTTATTATTTGATTTTTACTGACAAAGAGGGGAGCTTCATGTAATACTGGCCACGTTTTCTGTATAGTTCAGTCTATGCAGCATGAAACAGGATGGAATATTTTTGATAATTATTGGTTGTGATAATCATTACAATGAACAACAACCAAGCATGTGTACAATCACTCCAACGAGCAAATTTGAGTCTTCAATTAAGCAAACATTTTGGACTCTGGGAGGAAGCCAGAGAAATGGAAGAAAACCCCCACATACACAAGATTACATTCACCAGGCAGAAAAGGCCCAGTTCCTAGAAGATTCAAACCAGAGACACTGGTTTCTAACCAGTATAAACCCTAACCACACCACTGTGTAATCTAAAGCTGATACTGGAGATGTATCAAATACACATTTTTTTCTTCTTCCAATCAATAAAATATAAACGTGTGTTTTTGAAGGTACCAATGGAAGTAAAATTGTTTTTTTCAGAAGTTTCTTATGGAATAGACTGTAGAAATGGAAAGAGATTATATAGAATACTTCGTGAAATTACATAGAAAAAGAATATTTGTATTGACCATTTAAAAAATGTTCTATTTAATACAGTGCTAGAGGTTTTCTCATACATTTTAGGAAAGATCCCTGTGTAAGTATTTTTTAAAAACACATTTTGGATTTATCTCTTCGGATCCAAACATTCAAGATTCCTTCGGAATACTGTATATGCACTGAAGAGTTTTTGGGGTGCCGTTAGTTGCAATGTGGGGGCAGTTACAGATGGCTAATGATTTACTGAGCTTTAAGATTAACTTTAAAACATATGCTTTGGAAAACACATGACTTATCTGAATAGCCTTTGGAACCTGTTCAATATTTTTAAAAAACAACATCATTCTGTTTGAGGAAACTGGACAGGGGGGTGTAATAGAAAGATGTATAAAGAAGGTGTAATATGTCTAAAAGAACATTTACTGTAAATGAAGAGGATACGAAAATGTTGCCCAAGATAACACAAAGCCAAAAAAAAACTGCCAAGTTGAGTTTAAATAATCGAAATACAGTTAATCGAAATTAACTAGGGGAGGCTTAAATTTTACTGTAGTTGGGTATGATCCAAGTTGTTTTTGAAGAAAAAAGAGCTGATTAGAAGGCTAATAAATGCAGGCTTTCAGAAATGTATAATACTCAGATTTAGTGTCCTGAGGTATCTAATGTAAGTTACTCAACGCACTGGCCACAGCAGTGCTGCAGGTCATGCTCTCACATCATTTTCTCTGAATTCAAATTTCATTGGTCATGAATCTGGAGAGATTTTGACATTTTTAAAGCAGTCTGTATTGGACAGAGCAATGATTTAGAGCCAGAAGAATTCACTGAACGGACAGAAATCTTGCTGTCCATTCATCCCACAGGTATTTTGCATGGTGAATATCAGCATTTGATGGTGGACTTCAAGGCTGATCCTGATAAATTCGGAGCCTATGTTTGTTTAAGCCTTGAACCTTATTCTAGAACTACTTGCCCCAAACTACTAACCCCAAAAATACAGAAAGTTCACACAAACACAAGGGAGTCTTGAATCCTCTACTTTGATACTCTTCTATTAAAGGCTAGAGGAAGGACACTGCATGGAAGTACTTCCATATCCTCTGACCACCAGCTAATGAGACACTTTTCTTATTTTGGGGTATTTCACATTAGTAGCCTGAAGTGACCCAAATCGGACTTTTTGGCCCTTATGCAACTTGTATCTGATCTTTTCATTACAGTCCGAACAACACAATTCAGATTTGTTTTAATGCGTCCCAGTCCTTAATCCAACATGTATCTGATCTTTTCAAATGTAAAATGGGCGCGTTCATCTGACCTGCACCTCATTGATCCTTGAAAACCACCAAAAACTGAATAAGGACACTAAAGACCCCGGATGTGTCACTTGCCTCTTTAGTTAGAAAAAGCTGGGCTGCAAACACTGAGCAGCTGCAGCTTTATATTTAAATTACTGCATCTTCTACTGCGCATGCGGGACACTTTTAGGTTATTTGTTTGGAAATGTGAATGACCACAAACCCACAAAAAAAAATCATAATTCACAAACTAATCCGAACTGGCATTAGCATCTCTGACCTTTTCAACTCTGCATCTGTGAAAAAAAAGTCAAAATGCGTTGATCCCATACTTACAGCATAAACACATTATGCACTTTATTAAAGGTAATATAGAATTAAGTCAGTAAATGATGTTTTGCCCCTCCAACGGCACATCGTGAGTTATGGATGGGTTTCAGTCACTTTTTTCCTTTTCCTTGGTATGCTGTTGAGGACTTTTCACCATTTTAAATAGTTATGCTGCATGTAAATTCACTGAGCCCTTTTTCAAGGGAATTGACTCAACATTATCTGTTATGAGCTTAAGGAACTTTATTAAGTTTCATTAGCCATCGTTGCATAATGTACTTTTATACTTTTACACAAGTTATTTCACTGTAAATTTACAATGAATATAAGTAGTATTGGTAAATATTGGAGTTATACAGGGTATGTATAATAAACACATGCTAAGAGAAGAATTCTTTAATCTCAAAAAGGAGAAAACTGCTGGCTTTTTTAGAATGTGTATCCCGGTAATAACTGTGTGAAAAAATGATCAAATCCAGGGAAAAAGCAAACGAAGCTAGACTGGAGCTGTGCTCCATCTCTATTGGTTGCTGACTGTGTAGCATCCTCTCCTCCTATTGGCCAGCCAACGACCCCGCCGCTGATTGGCTGTAGCACCACGCGACAGCAAGCCAAAGTTGGAACATTTTTCAACTCGTCTACGTGTGCGAGCTCCAAAATTTCACGTGCACGAGTTCTCGTCCCGGTCTCGTGCGGAATCTGGTTCCCCCTGACTGATCTGTCCCCCTGGTGTCGGGAGCGCGCACAGCATCCACTCAGCGCCCATGTGTCACTTTATACAAACTTTCTGATCAGTTAGGATCAGTTAACTGACATAATAAAGACATAATTATTTATTGGGGAGACGAAGAAAATAACAATGAGTAAGTGGGCCTGAAATATTCTCCCCCCCCCCCCGTATCTTGGATAGAGAGTAACCAATCATCAAATATTTTGGGAGGTTTCTTCCACTACTCATAAACAACCCAAACTGTTGATTTAAAGGAATTTGCTCTTTCCTTTCTAAGTTAACAACAAAAACCCGGAACATTTGGATATTTTCAGGAGGTTCCGGTTTTCCAAGTGTTTATATGTAGCTAATAAAGGAATTATTAAAGTGGGGAAAGAACATTGTTGTTTCGGCACAAAACAAAAAACGAAAACATGTTAAAAAAAAAGCACAAAAGTATGTTTAATGTTTTTAGCTTTAACTATATGTAGTGGCGATTGTTTGTCAAACCAAACATCCAATAATAGTCCCTCAAGCCACTAAGAGGCACTGGGGTCCAGTTTCTGTACGCAGGCAAAAGAAGATTTAACATCCAAACTTGTTGATTATTCAGGAAGGTTTATTTGTTCTTTCCAGCAACAATTACAGAGTTCAAACTTTCCTTTGTTCTCATTCTGTCAATCTTACTCTGTTCTCTTGCTCTGTTAAAACCAAAGGCCCCAAACCCAAATGCCTTGCTGGTCCTTTACCAGGCCCCTATACTTATAGAAAAGTGGACTGGTCCTTTACCAGGCCCCTATACTTATAGGAAAGTGGACTGGTCCTTTACCAGGCCCCTATACTTATAGGAAAGACATAAAAATAACCATGGCGAGAATCTTGCTTGGTTTCTGGATGGTGTGCGCGCTCCCGACACCAGGGGAGCACATCATTTCAGACTCTTTGTCCCTCTAGAATAATCTCTTCCCCCGGGGACTCTTTGATGAGGACAGGACTAATACTCCAGATTTAGAACTAAGATATCCTTTGGCACGGGCAATGATTACGTCATCAGACAAACTGATCAGAAAGTTCTGTGCAGAGTGAGATTTGGGGATGTTGAATTACGCACGAGAGCTGGTGCTTGCCCCCCAGCTTATTTCCGTGGGGGCAACATTAACTGAGAGGGAGCTCAGAGCCCACAAAAAGTGGCCCACATCGCCGTGGAAGCGCTCCACTGGGAGAATGCGCGCTCCCGCGGCGGATGGGGGTTGCAACCAACCCCACCTCCAGCTCCCAGCTCCGGGCCGGGGCTCCAGACGCCTCCCCCCCCCCCCCTGCCCTCCCCCCCCCCCCTCCTCCTCTCCTCCCCGGCGCAGAGCAGCCAGACGCGTCCCGCCATGGAGCTCCTCGGCGCGCTGCTGCTCCTGTGCGTGGCCGCGCCGCTGTGCGCGTCCTCCGCGGCCCCGGAGCCCTACGACTCGCTGTTCGACACGGCCGTGGAGGCCTACTACCGGGGGGACTGGCTGTCGGTCATCCTGAACATGGAGAAGGCGCTGCGCAACAAAGCCGCGGTGCGCAGGGTGAAGGCGCACTGCCGCATCCGCTGCGCCAACCACAGCGCGTTCGGGGGGCCCGCGCCCGGCGCGCACGGCCCGGGGGGGGCTCCGAATTCCCCGGGGGCCGTGCCCGGCGCCGGCTCCGTGGACGACCTGGGCTTCTTCCAGAAAATCCTCCGGCGGGCGGACTGCGTCCAGTCCTGCGAGAGCGAGCAGCTCGGGGTTCCGTCCATGCACCAGGCCGGGGAGGAGGTGGAGCTGGAGTTCAGGAAGAGGACGCCTTATAACTACCTCCAGGTCGCCTACTTCAAGGTAGACGTTGCTGACCAGGCTGGAAAAGTTTGAGTTGGCCTCCAGTTTGAGGCTTGGCCGCTTTTTGGCGAAGCGTCAAAGTTTGGGGATGAGAGATTTAGGGTTTATTCAGGTATAATAATACTGCATGCCCCCGATATAGGGACGATCTAAAGGGTTTATCCACTGATGTGGTCCTGAAGAGCCTCCCCAACCCCCTCACCCCCCCCATCCACCCAAAAAAACGCGCACCGATGCCACGTCGTAAGGTGGAGTCTAACTTTATGGACTCTGACGTTGGGACGTAAAACTTGGGCTTTTAGTGGTCTTATTCCTCAAAAAATGTTATATATCCGTCCTAGATCATAAAATTCTATAAAGATGTACAAAGAAATACAGTTGGAACTTTTAGAGATTAATGTAAATATCACATTTTGTCTTGAATTGTGCCTGGAAGCTCTCAGGAAAGCTTTTTTTCTTTTTTTCTTTTCTTTTTTCCACAAGTAATGATTACTAGACGTTTTTCCAGGCTTCTTAAACTATGCTGCTAAGCGCCTCTTCACATTTCAGATGTCCATTTTTCTTTTATTTTATAAAAGGCATTAACTGATGGTCCTGCTTCAGGTCTTAGCTGGATTTTTGTCCCATTTCTTAATAATGTGATTTTCAAATACTGATGAGTTCTACAGCTCTCGTTTTCAAGGCCTGGTCTTTTCTTTTTGTCCTCCGCTTTTCCAGGGTTTTCTCATTTATTTAAAGATGCCCTTCACTCCATTTGGTGATAAGTCAAGTTTGTAGGATAAGCAGTCCGCAACTTATTATCTTGTTTTTCCCCAAATACTATTGTATGTGTATGGCCAATTTGTTCTGTTAAAGAAATGGAGAAGAATCGATAGATTTCCATGTCAAAATGCCAAAGGAAACGTATCTAAATTAGAATCTAATTTAGAATTGGGTCTTTAATAAGTTATTTGTTACACATTGACACAATACCTCATAATTTGAGATAGGTGCCTTTTTCAGGCTTGAACTATTTAAGTGGAATAACTCCTATCAAAATGTTCAGGTCCAAGGTCTGGGCTGAGTTGTTCAAAGAAGACCTTCCAAATAAAAACCTCCAGAACTCCAAAATGTCGCTCAACATCACTTAAATGAATGAAAAGAGGTCTGGCTGCTTGGAGACCAGTCATCCATCCGCTATACACAAGAGTTTCTGGAGCCGGCTAGCATTCTTTATGTTGAAATGAGGCAAAAAAAGAGGGTTTTACATAGTTTTTTACATAACATAACGGTCTTGGATTTCTGACCTTTCCCAAGCACAGCTCCTTTTTATCATTACAATAGTTTACTGAAGTTAACCTCCTGAGACCCTGTGTCCTCATAAGTGGACGTTGCATTTTTGTCTCTCTTTACCATGATACTTCTTTTTTTCTTTCAGCTTTGACCTCTTGACCTCATAGCAGATGCTATCAGACACTGTTTGAAATCTAAAGTAAAATGGTTTTATACATTTCCATCCAATCATGTTCTTATTGTGTAATAGAAAAAATGTAAATAAGTCAATGGGACTGTCAGAACAAAATTGTAAAAACATTTAATTAAATATGTATCTCATATATCTTTAAAAAAAAAGCTAAAATGCATGCCAAATAAAAGCTCGGGTCTCAGGAGGTTAAACTAGGCAGAAATCACCCCGATAGTTGGGATAACTGCTCTGAAGTGGGCTTGATCACAGTTGGATTTTGTGTTTTGCTGTTTCAGAGTCAGCCCCAATGTTCTCCCGTTGGGTTGAACCTGAGCAGAACCGCTCTGTGCTTTTTCAGGTCAACAAACTGGACAAGGCGGTGGCTGCCGCTTACACCTTCTTCCAGGCCAACCCCGACCACGTGGAGATGAGGCAGAACCTGGACTACTACAGGATGATGGCCGGAGTACAGGAGGAGAACTTCAAAGATCTGGAGGCGCGGCCACATATGGTGAGAGCAACCCCTCTCTGTTCTATCTATCTATCTATCTATCTATCTATCTATCTATCTATCTATCTACAGTGGGGGAAATAAGTATTTGAGCCCTTGCTGATTTTGCAGGTTTGCCCACTTACAAAGAATGCAACGATCTATAACTTTAATCATATGTACATTCTAACAGTGAAAGACAGAATCCCAAAGAAAATTCCAGAAAATCACATCATATGAATTTATAAAAATTGCTAAACATCTGATGAGGAAAAACAAGCATTCTTTGAAAGTGTGCAAACCTGCAAAATCAGCAAGGGGTCAAATACTTATTTCCCCCACTGTAGCTAGCTATATATCTAGCTATCTATCATATATAATTGTATAATATACATTTTGTAAATATAATTATAAGGATAATATATATAAAAACAGTGTTTGCCCTCCCTCAGTCACAGTCAGTTTCCAGTGGAAGTCTGATTATGCTGATAAATTTAGTTGCCCTGATAAACCTTTTGCGTGGCGGTATGAGCAGTGATGGAGCTTTTCTTTTCCAGGCGGAGTTTCTGCTGGGGAAGCAGCACTACAGCGACGATCTGTTCGACAAAGCCGCCGCGCACTTCGAGGCGGCCGTGGACGAGTATTTCACGGCCGACAGGGAGTGCCGGGCCCTGTGCGAGGGAGCCTACCACTACGACGGGTACAACTACATGGAGTACAGCGCCGACCTGTACCAGACCGTGACGGGTGAGCAGAAAGAGGAGGAACTGCAGATCGGTTGTGTAGGAGCCCGAAGCGGCTGATTGTGTGATTGTGTGTGTGTGTGTGTGTGTGTGTGTCAGACCACTACATGCAGGTTCTGAACTGTAAGCAACAGTGCTCGGTGGAGCTGGCCTCAGCTGCGGGCAGAGAAAAGCCCTTTGAGGACTTCCTGCCCTCACACTTCAACTACCTGCAGTTCTCCTACTACAACAGTGAGTGGCAGCCTTTAATAAGCAGTGTGTAATGTGTAGAATGCAGAACTACAAAGCTATAGAAGCCTCTGTTCGTTAGAAAATGAATGTGCTGGCAAAACAAAAGCTTGGGCTAGTATTGTATGTGGGGTTTGATAGGTTTGGATATGCTGGATATGATTTCTAAGCAGAAAGATGAGAAGAATTGGTCCTCCAGTCGTCATCACAGACAAATGTATGCTGTGCAGATGCCTTTTCAATTAGAACAAACTTTATTCCCAGAAAAGCTGTAGAGGTTTTAAAGAGCAACAATTGCAAACTGTAAGTGTTTCAGAGCTGAGGATGGTGGTCTTTCTCACCTTTGGCCGGAACAAGATGTGTCACGGCGGTGGGTCTTAGGGAGGACTCAGTCGCGGAGAGATGGAATCAAGGGGTTTATTTGAACAAAAAACTCTCTCAAACGGAGTGGATGCAGACAAAGTTCAAAATAAGGCTGTGACAAAACTATGAACAAAGTATCAAAGTAAGAGTAAACCAGACTGTGAACACAAAGTATCAAATAAAGTAAACAAGGCTATGGCAAAGCAGGGTTAATCAAGACTGTGGCAAAAGTATCAAAACAAGACTATGGTAAAAGTATCAAAATAAAGTAGATAAAACTATGGCAGGACTGTGACAAAAACAAGATTATGGCACAAAAACAAGACTATGGCAAAGTGCAAAAAACTATGGCATGGCTGTGACAAAATCAAACCTTACGTGGCGAGGGGTGACGAAAAACTCACAATGACGAAAACGCACTGGCACAGGACATGGGAAACGAGAACTATTTAAACACATGAGGGAGGGGAACCCCAGGTGTACACAATAGGTGATGAAGACACGACGAGACACCAGACATTCCCCCAGACGTGACAAACTAGGTAAAACTGTTTCCCAAAAGCAGCTTAAATGTCAACTCATCTGACCACAGAAACCATTCCCAATGTTGTTCTGTCCATCATCTGCACGTTGCTACTCAGAGAACTCATTTTGAGGTAACATATGCCTGCCGTTTTATGTTAAAAAAGCCTTTAAAGTTGCATTTTTGGATTTTTTTTAGTTAAGCCTGAGTCACTGTGAATATTTTGATTACTCAAAGGTCACATCCATCCAACGGTGACTTCCTTAATGATAAAATTAAACAGAAAATCAGAGACAAATATTCTGGTGATTAATAGGGCATGATTTCTTCAGAATCCTGGTAATAGAATGAAAAAAAAATCTGTTTTTTTTTGCATTTTAAGTAGAAAGAATTAGCCGAACCACCTAAAAAACAAAACTCATTGTTCCTGCTCCTCTGATTCTCGTTCTCTTTTTCAGGTGAAAAGTATGAGCAGGCCATAGAGTGTGCAAAGACCTTCTTACTGTTCCACCCTCAAGACGAAGTGATGAACCAGAACCTGAACTATTATTCGGCAGTGCTGGGTGAGGAAAAAGCGAGATCCATATCTGCCCGACAGGTACAGTTGAATACCATGTCTGATTTTTATCTTGGTGTCACATCTATGCCAGTATGTCGAAAAACAGTCTCCAATGGCAGTCAGATACACCCAAACACAGAAAAGAGAAGATATGATGCTAATTTAATTTATAAACATGAGTTGTTTTAGAAGAAGCAGCAAGAAATAAGATTGTTGCCGCAGGTTGATGCTACATAAAATGTGATGTTAGCGATATTCACCGGGTGAAATGCAGTGATTAAATCTGTGCTCTGTTTTTTATGATTGATATACGGATGTAATATAAGCTATAGACATGAAGTTGCACGTTTTATTGACCTCAACCTATCAAATAACATATTATGAACCTTTTTGTCTTATTCTTGTCATTTAGCATCCTTGTTTTCCCTAATGAATTGCCCAGGAATTCTGAATTGAAACTTTTTGCCCTCTCTCTTTCTGTGTGAAGTTAAACGCTAAATCCTACATTTCTATGGATTAAACAGAAGTCTTTATTGTTGTGCTTTTGGAATGATTTATTCAAGAAAGGTTCATGGTTCAGATTCCTGAGCTCGTGCAGTTTTGAAGCAGAGTGTGGTAGAATTTTAGGGTTAAGTCCAAAAACTATCCACTGACGAAAACGTTATCTAACTTTTCAGAAATGTTTTTAAAAATCAAACATTATAAAGCGCAGCATTTATCCACATGTTCTCATTATATGAGCACAGGGAACAATCTTAAAATGGGTTTATTCTGTACATCATGGTGCCATCAGGATAATTCTATTTCTTTCATTTATCGATATTTTCTCTTTAAAGACAGTGATTGTTATAATGGTCTGTTACATGTACTTGTATGGTGAATATAGGTTCATTACACAGTAAACACAAGCCCTCCTCCCACAGAAGAATTTAATTATCTTTTTTCAGATCTTATAGTTATTATTTAAGTGCACTTAATACACTGAATAACAGTCATGGGCATTGTGTCTGTTTGCATTTTTGGACAATAGATAAGAAAACTATAGTAATAATAAATGGAAAGATGAGAATCTTTTAAAAAAAGATTTCATAAACCATCACAAAGCCCAAAGGTTGCTCTGTACCTCCTCCTAAAGGTTGCCCCAGTTTGAAAAAAAGAAAAAAACAAGCATAAAAATGAATGAATTCTGCCAAAACTGCCTTAAAGTGAAGTGGTTTAACATGGCTCAACATCACAGACTGGCCTTTTCATCCCTGACCTCTGTTTGAATCCCCAGGTGGTCCAGCAGTTCATCCAGCAGTCCATCCTGGAGAAAGAGCTGCTCTACTATAGATACGAGGCCTTTGGGATCACCTTTGTAGACCCAGTGAGTCAATAATCAATCTCTAACACGATCACATTTCGAAAAGAGTGTTATTTAACATGTACGTTTGCTTTAGGACGCGTGGACCCCCGAGGACGTGATGCCACAGAAACTGAGAGACAAACAGAAGTAAGATTTAAGCCTGTACTGCCCACTCAAGCGCGGTTGGAATGGTAACTTCTCATTAAAGCCACATCTAATTATCTCTACGCACGCACGTCAGGGCTGAGAAAGAAACTGCTGCGAGGATTACGGAGGAGATCGGAAACCTTATGAAGGAGATTGAGATTCTGGTCGAGGAGAAGAAGAAGGATTCCTCAGATATGGCCACCATCATCGCGCCGCAGGAAGGTGATTTTTCCGGTTTTCCTCCAGATACCCTGAGTGTCCGTCACTCTGCTACCGGTGTCTGTGCCCCCCCCCCTGCAGGTTCTGCAGTGCTGCCCGACAGCGTCAGCTTGACCATGACCCCCCAGCAGCTGAACGGCTCCCAGCGCGTGCTGCTGGACGCCGTCATCGGTCAGGACGAGTGCAGGGAGCTGCAGCGCCTGTCCAACGTCAGTGCCCCCCCCCCCCATCACCCGGCGGTCAGCGGGCCTGTGTGTGTTTTCTAATGCCTGTTTGTGACCATGCTTTTTCCCCAGGCAGCCGCCCAGAAAGGCGACGGCTACCGGGGGCAACCGTCCCCCCACACGCCCAGCGAGAGCTTCCAGGGGGTCACTGTCCTGCGGGCAGTTAAGGTCAGTAGCCTGGGGTCAGGCTTCACTGCCCCCTCCAGAGAGGTCTTGCCTAGGGACAGCTTTTGCAACCAGAAGTTTCATGTTTGAGCAAAGAAAACTGTTTAGTTCCTCAGTCTGACGGTTGAATTATAAAGTAAAGTAAGTCATTAAAAGTGCCGGAAAATGAGAGCCACATATAACAGAAACTATGTGGAAAGAAGTGGTTCGATTTAAATGTGTCATGAGGGTGGATCTTGGGAGGAGGACTCAGTCGCGGAGATTCAGAAAACGGGGTTTATAGAAACAAAAACCACACTCAGAAAAGAGTGGATGTCCAGACAAAGTTCAAAACAAGGCCTTTGAGAAAACTATGGACAAAGTAACAAAGCAAGATTTACATGACTGTGAAAAAAACATGGCTATGACAAAAAACGTGGCTATGGCAAAGTAGAAACAAGATTAACAAAACTGTGGTAAAACATGGCAAATGTTTGGGAAGGGTTCTGCAACTGTGAATATCTAGGCAACAAAAAAAAGTGCGCCAATAAGTGTAAAATGGAATTAAACGCAGGTCTTCGATATTTTAAGCAAGATGGCGTGTTCCCCTTTGTCTGACCTGCAGCATAAGATTAACTTTTGATTGATTTAGTGTTCTTTGAGATCACTTTTGTGGCATTTTTCATTCCAAATAAACCCTCCCTCACCGTGGTCAAATTGTTCCGTTCAAAAGCTCTCTGGAATGGTCTCATAAATCAGGCCTATTTGTGGATATGCCTTCCATCCATCCATCCATTTTATTGCTAGTAGGGCCACTTGAGGGTCCATTTGAGGGCCATACAGAGACTCCTAGTGGCAATTTACAGCCTTCAATCAGTCTCACATGCATATTTCTGGAAGGCCAGAGTACCTGGAGGGAACCCAGGCAGGAGAACGAGCAGATTCTTGTTAAAATGCAAGCTTTTAGAAGATTCTGTTTGATGACCCTGGCCGGTCAATGGTTTTCTCTGGGCAGACATGGCTGCACAGGTGAATGGTGCTGGCTGACACTCAGTAGTAGTTAAACAATGGCTCGCTTTAGTAAGGTTAAGGAAACATATACTTAAGAATACTTAAAATTGTTTTTTTTTTTACAGTTTTCTCCTGCATCACAGTGTTTACCAGCTATTATCTCCTAATGCACACTTTCGATAAATTACAGACAAGCCAGTGATGGCTGCTGTGAAACATGATCTGCCCCAGGCTTTCTTTTTTATCCAAAATGAGTTAATCTTCTCTTGAATATTTAGACTCCCAGACATTTTAACGTAGGTATTCATATACTGCTGCATATTGGACTGTAGTGTAGGAGCAAGCTCAGTGTTCTTTATGTTTTTGCTTGTTTAATGGATATGAGGATGAAATCAAAATGAAGCACAAAGTAGACTTGTGATATCCTGAGAATAGAATAACCCAATTTCTCTACTTTTGTAAATTGAAAACTAGTAAAAAACATTGTCATCAACCTTGTATTTCTGCTTTTTGTGTTCTTCAGTTGGCGCAGGAGGGGAAAGTTCCACTAAAGAGTGCGCGGTTATTCTTTGACATCAGTGAGAAAGTGAGGAAGATGTTGGAGTCGTACTTCCTCCTGAACACTCCACTTTACTTCTCCTACTCTCACCTGGTCTGTCGCTCTGCTATCGACGGTAAGTGTTCACGGAACACAGGGGGGGGGGGCTTTAAGAGAGGATGAATCTGATTTATCTGCATCCATGTCATGGGTTAGGCCTGCCATTTCACAGTTCCTTCCTTTTAAAATTGGTATTGAGAGATTAATTAAGAGTTTTGGATTTTTCTTCCTTCTTTTTTTCAGAGAAAAAAAAAGATTAAGTACTTTAAACTTTATATTGAAATGTTGAAAACATATTATAGAAAAGAAATACATCATTCAGTTTAAGCAACTCACTGTAGATGATTAATACATCATGAATTATGTATCTGAAACTAAATCCATGTGGAGGTAGATCACAGAGTGTTCATTCCTTTGTAAAAAATAAATAAAAAGAAACTGAAGAAATGTCACTTTTTGAAAAACGTTTTCCGTTGAAGTTTTTTTCACTTTCAAATATTTTTATACACTTTATGATCCCCTTAGTTTTTTTTATTTGAATTCTTTGGCCATGTGAGGGGCAGGGCTACAAATGACAGGCATTTAGAATCCTGAGTGACAAACATTTCTGATGATTTTTGATAATTCTATGGAATTTTGACTGATCAGTTTAAACTTACATTTTCTCAGTTTCAAATATTAAAAAAATGAACAAACAAACATATAATGTCGCATCATAGTTTTTTACCCGCCCTGTTGGTTGCAGGGTGCATTTTAGGCGCTTTATGTAGTTTTAGGTTTAAACTTAGGTTTAAACTTCACTCATGGTGAATGATTATGTTTGCTGGCAGCCATACATGTTCTGTCTTACCAGTTGCAGTCTGTAGACTTAAATCTTTGCTAACTACATCATATTGTTATATATATATATATACTTTTCGTGCTTTTGCTTTTGACTGTTAAAGAAACAAAGCTACGCACACTAATCGGGATCTTGACGTTCTAATCCTTTGGTGTTTCCTTTGGTTATAATCCTTTGATGGCTCATGAAAATGACAACTTTTCCCCGCCCTGCTGCTTATCCAGAGAAGCAGAAGAGGGATCCGGATGACCTGAGCCACCCTGTCCACGTGGACAACTGCGTGTTGGTGTCTGAGATCAATGAGTGTGTAAAAGATCCTCTTTATTACACATACAGAGACTACAGGTGAGGACTTACGCTTACATAAAAATACTTGAGTTCCCCTTTTATCCTTTTGACAACCACGTGCCTTACAACTAATGTGTTTCCCGCAGCGCCATCCTTTACCTCAATGATGACTTTGAGGGGGGAGAGTTCATTTTCACAGAGTTGGACGCAAAAACGGTCACGGTAAATATGGTTTCTAACACGTTTGTGGTACTTGGAAAGACCCCACTCATGTACAGTGGGGGAAATAAGTATTTGAGCCCTTGCTGATTTTGCAGGTTTGCCCACTTACAAAGAATGCTTATTTTTCCTCATCAGATGGTTATAAATTTTTATAAATTCATATGATGTGATTTTCTGGAATTTTCTTTGGGATTCTGTCTTTCACTGTTAGAATGTACATATGATTAAAGTTATAGATCGTTGCATTCTTTGTAAGTGGGCAAACCTGCAAAATCAGCAAGGGGTCAAATACTTAATTCCCCCACTGTATGCGTATACGTGCACATAAACTCCAGACCCTAAAGGTCCCTGGTCCCCTGGATTAGAAATGGGAACCCTCTCAACTGGACCACCGCACAGCAACTTTTTAGAATGGGGCTGATCCCAAACATACAGTCAATGCAAACCTGAAGAGTCTTAAGGACAATTGTTCTAACTTTTAAGAATTACTCAGCCAAAGATCTGCCCTCAACCCCACAAACCATCGGTGGATACCTTGAATTGTCCGAGATAAGTGTGAAAAGCCTGTGAATAGTTGAGGAATAGACCTTTCTATAAATGTATTGATACTCATGACTGATGTTTTTTTTAATCAGACATTGATAATGATCATATTTATTCTGTTTGTTAGAGTATTTTGTAAAATTGAAATGGAACATGGTCTCACCAAAAAAGTTGAGAAGAAAAAGGTGTGAATATCTTAATATAACAATCCAGAGTCTGTCTGGAACTTCATGGGGTTTTTGTACACGATTGCTCCTGGGTTTGATTTGGACACATCTCTAACAGCTCACATTAAGACGTTGAAATCAAAAGTCACAGAAAAAGTGTTGACACTGTTCATAAGGGATCTGAGGGAAAACTGATTTTCTTCTGAACATAACTGATGTCATGTTTAACTAACATCTTTTCCTTATAGGTGGCAGCTTTTTTAGTAGTTTGTTTTTCTGAAATAAGGTGGATTCACTGTATGATGAATACGTCTTCTCCTCAGGTTCCAGAAAATCTACAAAAGCATTTCAGAGCTACACTTGGCTAAAAGATATAAAAGATATCACGTATTCTTATTGAGCAAATCCTGAAAACTGACTATCCAGCTGCCTTCTTTTTCCAGTGCTGAAATATTCCTTAAAAGAAAGACTGTTTTCGACCCTTATGGATAACTTAGTTTAGTTTAGTCATTTTTCTTATCCTGGCCGTTTCCAGGCGGAGGTCCATCCCCGCTGTGGTCGTGTGGTTGGGTTTGGGGCAGGAAAGGAGAACCCTCACGGTGTGAGAGCGGTCACCAAAGGTCAGAGGTGTGCTGTGGCTCTGTGGTTCACCCTGGACCCTGTGCACGAGGAGAAGGTAACGTTTATACGAAAAGACTCCGTCTCACTTTATTATTCATTCATTTCTATGACTCAGATAAAGAGATCCAATTCTTTTATCTTTGCAGGCATTGGGTGAATGGATGCTTTAACATTCTTTTTCCTGTCTTTTTTTAGGAGAGAATCCAAGCTCAGGACATGCTGAAGATGTTCTCCACCCCTCTGAATTCAGAATTCACCCTAAAGGAAACAGGAGACACTTCAGAGTCTAAGCCTTTGACAGCAGAAGCCCCTCCCCAGGCGGAGCAGGCTGCTGTTGAGAAGCAGGGGGACACACCACAACAACAGAAGACGGACAACACGCAGGAAGAAAAACCAACAACCGTTAGCAAAGCAACCACTAAGACTAAACCGAAAGGAAAAGCCAGCTCTGGAGACAAAACGAAGCCTAAGACAGCCGCTAAAGCTAAACCTGCTGCCAAAAAAGGGGGGAAACACACAGAGAAAGCACAAGCCAAACAGGTGGATAAAATAGAGGCAAAGTCAGCTACAAAACAGACTGTTGTCTCTGAAAAAGACCCCCCCTCGGGCTCAGAGTCTCAGAGTGAAAAGGAAGAGCTGTGATCAAACAGCCGGCCATCGTTTTTTCTTTTTTACAGAAAAACATTGAATTAAACAGGTGAAATGGTGCAAAGGTATAATTTGGGAATTCATACAAATGGCTACTTGAGTTTCGTTCTTGGGCTAAATGCCCAAAATGAGTGTGGGTATATTTATTCAGCACTTGCAAAGCGGCCATGTACTGTATTTTCCATCTTACAGACTATTGTTTTTCTCATTTTATCCTATAACCCAGCACGAGTGCTCTTAAATGAGCTAAGCTGAGAGTCTCTTGCCCTGCTGTGTGCCTTAAACGGAATAAAAAGGTGATGTTTTTAACTTTGGTGAATTGTCATTGTTGGGGAAGGGGCATTTTTGTACTACCTCAGATGGCCTCTGGGGGGCGTTATAGAGCCACTGGTGAGTGTCACACACTGTCAGAACATTTTACAGTAACTGACAAAACAGCTACTGTGATGTCATTTGTTATAAACAATTATATCATCATATCAAACAGAAAAAAAATAGCAAATATGACTCCTCTGTGGAAACTATTTATTTGGTTTAAGCTTTCGAATGTGACTAAGTTAAAGAAACTGAAAAATTCAGCCCACACAGCTCGACCAAGACATTAAAACGTTTTTTTTTTTTCCGTAGAGTTTGCGATTTGCAGCTGTTACATGCATTGTGCAGAATATCCCAGAGAGACAGTAGTAAGCTACTTATTCTCCACTGTCTTTACAGTTCTGCTCACAATAGGGATTGGACACTTTTGTTCAAACAATTTCTCGGAAAAGGTAAACAATCCACACATTCACACAGCAACCTGTCCTGTCTCTGTTAGGCTTGTTCGAACACAATCAAACAACCAAGACCTCAGACAGGCCCCCATTTCCTTCATCTGCAGTTTGACAGTGGAAATGTGCCCCTGACTTCTCCCCGAAATTGATCATATCCCGTAAACGTGAAAATATGGCGGCTTTATGGAAAGAGGTAACTCGTTATGAGGGCGGAGGCCTTTGCAGTTCAGCTCATGCCTCACATTTGAAGCTCATGACTGGGGGTCAGTGTGCGTGTGTAGCAAAACGCTCAGTGTAACATTCCTCCGGCTCTGTGCAAACACTGCCGTTTCTATCAGCACGTGCTGTGCTCTGCATCCCACACACAACCCCCACAACCAACCAACTACAACCATCCACGCTAAACCCACTCTATCTCCATCTCACCACCCTTTTGAAAATAATGGATTTTCAACTGGGGGCAGCCATAGAGTGGTGACTTGGGACTTAGATGTCATAGATAAGAACTAACTCCTAGGTACCTGCAGCATCAGAGATATGAGTACGATTCCTCTGCTGGAGTGTGTGTGTGTGTGTGTCTCGTACTGTCAGTGCTTCCTTTGTGTAATCTTTCTCTTCATTTGGAAAAGAGAGAGAGAGAGACGCACACAGGCAACTTTGTTTTTCTTGTGTTTTGTGGGCCTGTGGATGGAGCATTGTCTCTGCGGCGGAGAGTGGGTGGGTGGCCGGGGAGGGGTGGACACACAAGAGGGGACTCTTCCGTGATTGGCACAGGCTTCTCTGACTGTCCGCTCTGCACACACACACCGCGTCTCAGTCCATTTTCATTTGTGTCATTGTTTCACTTTTTTTGGTTTCTCGCAGGTATAACACATCTCATTTCTTTTATAAATGTGTGCGTCACACGGGCTTTTTGTTGTTTCCATGGGGATGTGGTAGGCATGGAGAACGGGTAGCAGGCTGGGGTTGGGCCCAGCAGGGCACGGAGCTCAGATTAACTTTAACTGTGGCTCTGGAGAGGAAAATAAAACAGCAGGCTATCAAGAACCAACACGACCTGTGTCCACATCCAAAGGTAGCTCTATGTACTGTAGTGTAACACTTACACCCAATATTTTACTATCAAAATGATGAAAACACCCTCTTAGCACTTTGAGAGATGTGTATTTAGTTTTATAAAGTCACGTACAAACATAGTTGACTTAAAGAAAATCAATTGTTCTGTAGGAAATAATCTTTTTGACCAGGTCAACCACAAACATGCAAACACAGTAGAAGTGCTGACTACAGAGATAAACAAATATTATCACCGAACCCATTCTGCAGAAGTGTGAGGTGTACAGGACAAAGTCAAACTGTATCCGTCAGTTCCATAGCTGCAGCCCATCCAACCTCCTCTAATACCAATCTTGTATTAGTAAAACAGTGGCTGCCATTGTGCGTGTGGCTGTTGGAACACATGCCTGGCTGATGACTTCAGCTCCTCCATGAAGCGTCTCCTTATTCTTCTATAGGCCCGCGATCACAGCCGTGCCGGTCTGGGCATGGGACCACCGCTCAGAGAGATCTATGGATCAGGACATGGCGTGAGGAAGAGGAGCTTTTCAAAATTAGGGTTTTAAATATGTCATCAGATATGTTATTAGATAAGCTCTAACTATACAGTTATGATGCCTATTTATTCAACAAAAAGTTGAATACATTCATTTTGACAGACGTCCAAAGCATGCGCTTTGTCACTGATTAATCTTCTTAACCTTATTTTATCTTTGTTTCTTTAACAAAATAATAAGAAAAATCAAACAAACATGGTTTTCACATGTTTTTGAATAAAATTAAATCTTGGCTGCAGGAACAGCAAAAGAAAAGCATAAATTCCTTATCAGTTTGGCCTTTTTTCATTTTAAAAAATTGATCTTGCTAATCAACCTTTCATAATTAAATAGTTATTCTACGGTAGGATTTTTACGTTTTCCACATTATCACAAACAGCCATCCATTTGCAGTTATTTATAGAGAGATTTAGAGATTGCCACCTGCAGAAGTTTTTTTTCAGAAAACTGAAAATGTCGGCTGTGTCAGTGGGGGTGTGAAAAAAGAAGTTGTGGATTATTTCGTTAGACGGTCTTCATCTTAATACTACCAAGACAAAGGATAACTGGTGGTGGATTTCAGGATCCATTTCCATCCACAGTGAGCCTGTGGAAGAGCTCCAGGGTTCTAAATACTTGGACAAAATGGGGACAGGAAACTGGACTGGGCCACAAACACCAGGCCGTTTACCAAAAGGGTCAGAGCCTGGAGGCTCCGGTCATTCATTGTTTGTAACATCATGCCGAGGATGTTCCACCAGCAGGTTATTCTACAATTATTTTCCTTTATAACTCCTATTTTGTATTGTAATTTCCTCCTGGATAAACACAGCTTCTTGGATCTTGAACCTTGAGTGAGAAGGATATCACTGGTAGCTGAGATGTGTGCGTGGGTTCCATTTGCTAAACCCAGAGATGATTGATGTGTTTAGCTGGACCAAAGAAACATTTTTCTAAGAGATTTCCAGGGACTATTTCAAGAGGTTAATTGGCACATTGATTCTAACAGCTCTGCCCTTCCTACACCTACCTCTTTTTTTTAAATCTTCTATCTCAGACTTCAGCAGATGGCTGGCACAGAATAGCCTTGGATGGTGGGGACCAAAAGTGATTCTTAGAAGCCCTTTTTGTCCCTTCAAATGAAGATGTATCTACTGGTTGTTATGGTGAAGGAAGGAAAGCTGACACTTGGCCCACTGCCATCCACTCACTGACAGACAAATGGGAGCGTGAACTTTCTGGAAGGAAAGGAGAGATGGAACTCCGACAGCAGGGTCAGGCCACCAAAGATAGCATTTAAATTTTACGAAAAGTTCTTATTTTCCATGTAAATGTGACTCAAGAGGCCTGAGTTGGTGGGAAATGCAGAAAAAAGAAAGAGTAAAACAAATTCTGGAATAGTAGGCAATGAAAAGGGAACAATAATGTGAGAAAGGTTTAGTAGGGAATGGTCTCCTTGCTAGTTTTAAATAAAACAAAACAGAAAATTACTTTTTTTTTTGTTTGAATCCCTTATTTGGCCTTTTAACAAAATATATAAAAAGAAAAAACAGAAATACATTTTTAATATTAATAATTTATTACTATGCGATAAGTCCAGATTATTTTTTGTGTAGTCTTCTGCCCCCTGTTATCAGGTGTATCTGATTGTGTACAATAGGAATTTGAGCAAAGTTTTTACCATTAAATTATGCAAAAGGTGTCAGACGCAAAACATTTCAGAAACCGTATCAAATATGAAACATTTGGCATTATAGGATTAACTCACTGTATCATTTTTCTTTTCATAAAAAATGAAAACGGGTCTATTAGACCCGAACACCACACAAGGGTTAAGCAGACATATGCTTGTTGGAGGATGCATATGCTGCCTTTCCTCAAACAGTAGTCACCCTCATAAGAAGAGGAAAGGTGAGAGAGTGGAAAGACCAATCAAAGAGCAACATAAAAACTAAGTTATGCTGCACATTAATGATGATAATACTGTACATGTGAACAAGGCTGTGAAATAAGGGCAGAGTGGTGTGAAGGAATGTGGATGTAAAGGTACAGCGCTCTTGTTGCAGATCAACATTGCAACATTGCACATTTCAATTGTTAATTTGCACATTGAAATCTATATTTTTAAAGATTGTTAATTTGTACATTCAGATTTATACTTTTAAAGATTGTATTTTTCAGTTTTATCATTCTGCCCTATATCTTTATTTCTACTTTTTATTCTTGCTTCTCATAGAAGTGTTGTGTTGTGCACTAAACACCAAGGCAAATTCCTTGTAAGTCTGAAAACCTACTTGGCAATAAACCTGATTCTGATTCTGATTCTGATTCTGATTCTGATTCTGATTCTCTGCAGAAGCAGGTGGAGGAGCTGTTCAGTGTTTGGATAAAAACAGATGGCGGGAGAATGGCGTCTGTAGCCCCTGCTCTGTAAGCTGTGTAGGTAAACAGGGAGGAATGCTTTTCTTTTCTTTGCTCTTTCTCAGTTCGTGAAGGCAAAGAGAACCGCTGTGCAGCAGTGGATTAAGACCCACATTCTCTTTTTAATCTGGCTATAGCCGCCTTCAGCTTTACCCCCGGAGGCCACGGCCACTGTACCTCCATCTGCTGATGCTAGTTTTCACAGCCATTT